TGAGAGACATCGACCAGCTTGGGCTGTCCCATGGGTGAATTGGGACTGGCACTCCTCTCCCTGGTGGGGTCAGGGATTGAACTCTGGGGCCAGAGGTCAGACCGCAGACAGATCTGTGCACCCAGGTCTCACATTGCCGGGGCACAAAGTGATATCTGGAAAGCCGCTACTGAGGTTATGTGGCCTTCAGGGCAGATCAGCGTCCTAGAGGGCAACCCTCCTCCCAAAGGGAGGCCGTGCGCCCAGCCCAGGTGGCGTTCCTGCGCACGAAATTCCGCCGGCATCACAGTCAGGGGAGCCTTGGTGGCCTGTGGTCTGGCCTGCTGGCAGAGGCCCAGGAGTAGCTGCGGAGTTGGGAGGGTGGAAAGGAGTGAGCCCTCCAGATGCGGTCTCAGATGACCCCACCCCCACAGGAAGACTCTCTGAGCAGAGGCCATTCCAGCCCCTCCCTTGACAGCTTTTCCTGGAAGCAAGAGAACAGAACTTTGACCCGCGTAACCCACTGGTGGTGCCTGAGGCAGGTTACCCAACCAGCCCACCCAGACTCTCTCCTAGGACCAGCCCTCACTGAGAGGGGAGAAGAGGACACACCTCGAAGTCCCAGGCCCACGACACCTGAGGCAGCTAGAGTGCATCTGCAGGGAACAAGGAGCTGGTTACAGGACACAAAAACAACAGCATAGCCTGTTCCTCCCAGCAAGCGCCACCTACTGACAGGAGGACATCCTGCGCACCTCTTCAAGGCACCTGCTGACTCATCATACAGGGAGTGGTTCAATCTCACCACACAAACACCACCTACCCGGCTCAGAATGTGGATCATAAGAAAACTGAATGACCTGCAACAACAACTGGATAAGCAACACAAAGAAAACACAAAAAGACTCCAAGACCTGGAACACAATTCACTAAAGGAAGCGATACAATGAAGAAAGTTTAACCAACTCCTGGAAATGAAGAATCAATTCAGGGAACTACAAACACAGTGGAAAGCCTCGAAAACAGGTACCTCAAACAGAAGAAAGAACTCAGAGATTGAAGAGAACCACCTTCCAATAAATAGATCAGTCACAGAGATAGAGCAAGAAACAAGAGAAAGAGCAAAGCCTATAAAAATGTGGGATTAGTTAAGAAACCCTAATGTGAGGGTCATAGGTTGCCAGAAGGGAAGAAGAAACACTCAAGTTGGACAAGCTATTTGAAGATATAATAGAGGAAAATTTCTCGGCTTGCTAAAAATCTCCAGATACAAGTTCAAGAAGCTCAAAGGACCCCTGGGAATTCAATGCAAACAGAAAGACTTCACGACATGCAGTCATCAGACTGACCAAATATCAACTAAAGAGCCCTTCTAAGAGCTGTAAGACGAAAGAAGCAAGTAATTACAAAGGAAAGCCAATCCAAATAATGCCAGATGTCTCTACTTGAGACTTTACAAGCAAGGAGAGATGGGACCCATTCTCCACTCTTCTGACACACAGCAATGCCCAGCCTAGAATCTTTTTCCTGCAAACTAAGTTTTATATACGAAGGAAAAATCAAGACATTCTCAGATAAGCAAGACTGAGGGAATTACCAAGACAAGACCAGCCCTTCAAGAAGTACTCAAAAACGTGTTACCCACGATCAGCACAATAAACACTCACGAATGTAAATCTACTCCAAAGAACTATAGACCAACATCCCTTTTTATAACATAGATGCAAAAATCCTCAACAAAATCTTTAGCAATCGAATCCAGGTGCTTGTCAAGAAAATAATTCAGATCAATTTACCAGACTTCAAACTATACTACAAGGCTATAGTCATCAAAACAGCTTTTTACTTGCACAAGAACAGGGACATTGACCAGTGGAACAGAACAGAGAACCCAGATATAAAACCATCCTCATAAAGCCAACTAATCTTGACAAAGCAAATAAAAACATACACTGGGAAAAAGAATCCTTATTCAATAAATGGTGCTGGGAACACTGGATAGCCACATGTAGAAGATGAAACAAGACCTTTCACCTCTCACAAAAATCAACTCTCGCTGGGTAACAGACTTGAACCTTAGGTGTGAAACTATTAGAATTCTAGAGAAGAATGTTGGAAATACCCTTCTAACATTGGTCTAGGCAAAGAATTTATGAAGAAGACCCCAAAGCAATCACAGCAGCAACAAAAATAAACAAATGGGACATGATCAAATTAAAAAGCTTCTGCACAGCCAAAGAAACAGTCATGAAAGTAAACAGACAACTATTCTGTAGAAGGGAGAAAAATTTTGCATCCTACAAATCTGATAAGGGCTGATAACTAGAATATACTTAGAACTCACGAAAATCAGCAAGAGAAAAAACAAATAACCCTAATAAAAAGTGGCAAAGGACTTGAACAGAAACTTTTCTAAAGAAGACAGAAGAATGGCCAACAACATATGAAAAAATGTTCAACATCTCTAATCATCAGGGAAATGCAAATCAAAACCACAATGAGATATCACTTAACTCCAGTGAGAATGGCCTTTACCAAAAAAGCCCCAAGCAACAAATGCTGGCGTGGATGCGGAGAGAGAGGAACACTCCTACACTGCTGGTGGGACTGCAAACTAGCTCAACCTCTGTGGAAAGCAATATGGAGATACCTCAAAGCGATACAAGTAGGTCTCCTCTCTTTGATCCAGCAATCCACTACTGGGCATCTACCCAAAAGATCAAAAGTCACTTTATGAAAAAGACACCCGCACTCGAATGTTTTATAGCAGCACAATTCACAACTGCAAAGCTGTGGAAACAACCAAGTGCCCATCAATTCATGAGTGGATTAATAAAATGTGGTAATATGTTACCATGGAGTTACTACTCAGCTTTAAGAAACAAGGGTGACACCAGGCTGGTTTCGAACTCCTGACCTCGAGCAATCCGCCCGCCTCGGCCTCCCAGAGAGCTAGGATTACAGGCGTGAGCCACCGCGCCCGGCCAAGGTTGCCCCTCCTACTTTAGATTTTTTAAATGCAGAGCAATGACAGCAGAGACAGAATGACCTTTCACCTTTGTGAAACTTTCTCTCACAAATAAAGCACAATAAGACTTTGTGCTCTTGCTAGGAAGGAGAGAAGGAACAAAAGAGGACACAGAACAATTGAAAAAAGAATGAAAGACAAACCTAGATGTTCTGCCTGACCAGAGGAATAAGACAGGTCAGAAACAGTCTAGTAAATCATAAAAACAGAAATTCCTTATTTTAATGACTAAATTTGCAAGAATGAGCCCTTAAATGATACATGTCTCTATATTAAATAGATTTCTTTTCTTGGCGAAAATTAGTAGCACTCAGATATGTGGAAGTTGCCTTTACACTGGAGCAAAAAAGTACTAATTGGAAAAGACATTCTCCAGAAATGACCTTGATAATTGCAGTTTTGGAGGCTTATGCAGGTACCATAATAGAATCAGGAAAAAGAGATACATAAAATATAACGCCCTATTAACTAGGAATCTATACTCACAGTTTCAAGTATAGTAGATACACCTTTTGAATACCACCACTTTATAAAGCAATATAGTAAGAGGTTACATTGTAGACACCACAAATATACCTACAGGATGACTGGCAGCAAGGGGTGTCTCTTAATGTTAAGCAAATAGGTCCTTGTAATATTTTTTAGTGATAGCATCGTTCCTGGACTGAAACAGTACTGTATTTCCAACAAATTAGATGAAAGTAGAAATGATATGCCTCTGGCCTTGGATGATAACTGAAAAACTGGCTCTGATAAAAACAAAGCACTGATATCACACTGAATATAAATAAACTGGCATGTATTATTTTATGAAATTATATGAATTTCTAAATTTACATTATTCTATAAATGCATATGCACATATACATATAACTAAATTAGTAAATAAAAGAGGACTATTTCATCTGCAATATTGGATGTTTGTATATTCAAGTTGTCTAATACATGTTGGAAGTGATCTCAATGGAAAATAGGAGTTTGCCTTGGATTTGAAGTCAACTTACAACTCAATCACACACAGTATTGGATTATGTTTAAAAGGTATTCTTTGAACTGGGCACACTGGTCTATAGCTCCACTTACTTGGCAGTTGAGATGGGAGGATTCTGAGCCCAGGAGTTCGGGACCAGCCTGGGCAACAGAGTAAGATCCTATCTCTTTAAAAAAAAAGAAAAAAAGTGTTGGCCGGGTGCGGTGGCTCACGCCTGTAATCCTAGCACTCTGGGAGGCCAAGGAGGGTGGATAACTCAAGGTCAGGAGTTCGGAACCAGTCGGAGCAACAGTGAGACCCCATCTCTACTAAAAATAGAAGGAAATTAATTGGACAATTAAAAATATATATATAAAAAATTAGCTGGGAATGGTGGCACATGCATATAGTCCCAGACACTTAGGAGGCTGAGGCAGAAGGATTGCTTGAGCCCAGGAGTTTGAGGTTGCTGTGAGCTAGGCTGATGCCACGGCACTCTAGCCCAAGCAACAGAGTCAGACTCTGTCTCAAAAAAAAAAAAGAAAAAAGTGTTGTTTGTTCTCCAAAATTTCAAAACTTACTGCAGAATTCTAACTTGTACAACCATTTGTCCCCACTAGAAATTACTCTACATTGTTCTCTGAATTGTCATTTCTGCTTCCCTGACAGGGAATTTAATTATAGATTTACTTTCAACATTTATTGGAGGCCTATTTTTTATTATGAGCTATAAGAGATACTTTCATAAAGCACTCACATCTATTAACATGGTTCACTAAAGCCAAGATTTGCTGATAAAGCCAAAAAATAACAATGATGGATGGAATAGGAAAGAAAAAGACAATGTGGGTTCTCATACAGTATGACAAAGTGGCAGATCTTATTTTCCTGTTCCACAAGAGCATAATGTCAACTGATGAATTGTTTAAATGATGCTCTAAGCAATCTAGTATTAAAAATGTTACTGAACAAAACTCTATCTAAACCTCTACACTTTTGCTTCTGGAAGGGGGAGTTACTTGCCTCTGCCTCTGCTGTCAACTGCATCTTCTTTGCTATCAACCGTGTTATGTCAATTGGACCTAAGAGAAGAAAAAAAACATGCCTTTTAAATTGATGGATATAGCTACCCAGCATCATTATTTAAATCATGAACTTAAAAATCAAGCAAATACAAAGATGACTATGTAAACTACAATACAACCACAAAACATGATACAGCTCTTAAATGAAACATGGGCAGTATAACAGAAGGAAATAAACAGATGGAAATTCATAAATATAAATACTAAGCACAAAACTACTAAATGTACACACAGTAATTACAACTACATTAATCATGCAATGCTACATGTCCAATTTGATTGTATGAAAAATGAGATTCCCTGACTAGACTCTATAATTGAGACCATTAAGAAGCTGGATAAGATGCTGGATAAAAATAATAAAAACTAGACAAAGGATTAATGAAGATGGGAGATGAGAAACACCACCAGACAGAGTGTCTCTGCAGAAAACACAATTCTAGGAGAAATCAGAAGAAAGAAGCAAACAGACGAGCATACAGCAGAGGAGGGTCGGAAGGAGGGTACCTGAGACCACGGGAGACTCCACGGGAGGAGGTTACGGAGGAGAACTGGAGGCAGAGACCTCCGGAGCAGCCTGGAGACCAGCAGCAAGGGTAGGTGTCGCAGTTACCTTCCCCTCCCTTGCATCTCGGACTCCTGGTGGGCTCCCCAGCGGGTGGGAGAGACCTGCAGACACCAGCCCAGAAACGGCGGACGCGGCACCAGGCTCCCAACTCCCCAGGGCACCTCCGTGTGCACAGACCCGAGCCGCGCGGCAGGCGCCATACTGCCTCCTTCTCCCCTCCCCCGACCCTACCCGCGGCTGCCAAAAGAGACAATATAATCACCAATTGGAGGCACCTCAAGGAAACAGAACCTTCTCTTTTGGGGCCCTACAGCTGACTGAGGGGAACTCAGACTGTGAGCTCCCCACCCGCCAGCCGTCCCAGGTGCAGCTGGCACGGTGTTCCCAGGCAAACAATGTAGACCCTGAGGCTGAGAGACATCGACCAGCTTGGGCTCCCATGGGTGAATTGGGACTGGCACTCCTCTCCCTGGTGGGGTCAGGGATTGAACTCTGGGGCCCAGAGGTCAGACCAGCAGACCAGATCCCGTGCACCCAGGTCTCACATTGCCTGGGGCACAAAAGGGATATCTGTGAACAGCCCACTAAGGTTTGTGAGCCTTCAGGGGCAGATCAGCGTCCTAGAGGGCAACCCTCCTCCCAAAGGGAGGCCGTGCGCCCAGCCCAGGTGGCGTTCCTGCGCACGGAACATCCCGGCCGGCATCACAGTCAGGGGAGGCCTGGTGGCCTGTGGTCTGGCCTGCTGGCAGAGGCCCAGGAGTAGCTGCGGAGTTGGGGAGGGTGGAAAGGAGTGAGGCCCCTCCAGACTGCGGGTCTCAGATGGCCCCACCCCCACAGGAAGACTCTCTGAGCAGGGCCATTCCAGCCCCTCCCTGACAGCTTTTCCTGGAAGCAAGAGAACAGAACTTTGACCCCTGCTAACCCCACTGGTGGTGCCTGAGGGCAGGGTTACCCAACCCAGCTCCACCCAGACTCTCTCCTAGACCAGCCCTCACTGAGAGGGAGAAGAGGACACACCTCGAAGTCCCAGGGCCCCACCGACCACCTGAGGCACTAGAGTGCATCTGCAGAGGAACAAGAGCTGGTTACAGGACACAAAAACAACAGCATAGCCTGTTCCTCCCAGCAAGCGCCACCTACTGACAGGGAGGACATCCTGCGCACCCTCTTCAAGGCACCTGCTGACTCATCATACAGGGAGTGGTTCAATCTCACCCACAAACACCACCTACCGGCTCAGAAATGTGGATCATAAGAAAACTGAATGACCTGCAACAACAACTGGATAAGCAACACAAAGAAAACACAAAAAGACTCCAAGACCTGGAACACAAATTCACTAAAGAAAGCGATACAATGAAGAAAAGTTTAACCCAACTCCTGGAAATGAAGAATCAATTCAGGGAACTACAAAACACAGTGGAAAGCCTCAAGAACAGGGTACCTCAAACAGAAGAAAGAATCTCAGAGATTGAAGAGAACACCTTCCAATTAAATAGATCAGTCACAGAGATAGAGCAGAGAAACAAGAGAAAAGAGCAAAGCCTATAACAGATGTGGGATTATGTTAAGAAACCTAATGTGAGGGTCATAGGGTTGCCAGAAGGGGAAGAAGAAAACACTCAAGGGTTGGACAAGCTATTTGAAGATATAATAGAGGAAAATTTCTCAGGCCTTGCTAAAAATCTCCAGATACAAGTTCAAGAAGCTCAAAGGACCCCTGGGAGATTCAATGCAAACAGAAAGACTTCACGACATGCAGTCATCAGACTGACCAAAATATCAACTAAAGAGGCCCTTCTAAGAGCTGTAAGACGAAAGAAGCAAGTAATGTACAAAGGAAAGCCAATCCAAATAATGCCAGATGTCTCTACTGAGACTTTACAAGCAAGGAGAGACTGGGACCCCATTCTCACTCTTCTGAAACACAGCAATGCCCAGCCTAGAATCTTATTCCCTGCAAAACTAAGTTTTATATACGAAGGAAAAATCAAGACATTCTCAGATAAGCAAAGACTGAGGGAATTCACCAAGACAAGACCAGCCCTTCAAGAAGTACTCAAAACAGTGTTACCCACGGATCAGCACAATAAACACTCACGAATGTAAATCTACTCAAAGAACTATAGACCAACATCCCTTATGAACATAGATGCAAAAATCCTCAACAAAATCTTAGCCAATCGAATCCAGGTGCTTGTCAAGAAAATAATTCAGATCAATTTACCAGACTTCAAACTATACTACAAGGCTATAGTCATCAAAACAGCTTTTTACTGGCACAAGAACAGGGACATTGACCAGTGGAACAGAACAGAGAACCCAGATATAAAACCATCCTCATAAAGCCAACTAATCTTTGACAAAGCAAATAAAAACATACACTGGGAAAAAGAATCCTTATTCAATAAATGGTGCTGGAACACTGGATAGCCACATGTAGAAGACTGAAACAAGACCTTTCACCTCTCACAAAAATCAACTCTCGCTGGGTAACAGACTTGAACCTTAGGTGTGAAACTATTAGAATTCTAGAGGAAAATGTTGGAAATACCCTTCTAGACATTGGTCTAGGCAAAGAATTTATGAAGAAGACCCCAAAGGCAATCACAGCAGCAACAAAAATAAACAAATGGGACATGATCAAATTAAAAAGCTTCTGCACAGCCAAAGAAACAGTCATGAAAGTAAACAGACAACCTATTCTGTAGAATGGGAGAAAAATTTTGCATCCTACAAATCTGATAAGGGGCTGATAACTAGAATATACTTAGAACTCACGAAAATCAGCAAGAGAAAAAAAACACAAATTAACCAAGTAAAAAGGTGGGGCAGAACTTTTGAACAGAAACTTTCTAAAAGAAGACACGAAGAATGCCAACAGACATATGAAAAAATGTTCAACATCTCTAATCATCAGGAAATGCAATCAAAACCACAATTGAGATATCACTTAAAAAACTCCAGTGAGAATGGGCACCAAAAGTCCCAAGCAAAACAAGATGTGGCGGTGGATTGCGGAAGAAAAGGAGGGAAACACTCCTACCAGCCTGCTGGTGGACTGCATACAAACGAGCTCCAAAAAATCTCTGTGGAAAGCATATGGAAGTGATACTCTCAATATATGCTGATTTACAGTAGGTCTCCCTTTGATCCAAGCAAATCCACTACTGGAATCTACCCAAAAAAGATCAAAAAGTCCAACTTTATGAAAAAGGACCCCAACCCGCACTGCGAATGTTTATTAGCAGCAACAATTCCAACAACGTGCAAAAGCTGTGGGAAACAACCAAGTGCCCATCCAATTCATGAGTGGATAATAAAATGTTATATGTAACCATGGGAGTACTACTCAGCTTTAGAAACAAGGGTGGAACAAACCCAGCAAACCTCTTGTATAATTCCTGGGATTAGGCTGGGAAAACCCCATTTCTACTTACGTGAAGTATCTTCAAGAATCGGGGAAAAAGCCCAGCACCACATGTTAACTTTCACGCAGCAAATTTGGTATTAAACGGCATCAAAAAATAAGTGGAACATTTTATAGGAGCTTTAACATTTATCCAAAGTGTCCAGGAGGTGGAGGGAGGAGGGGGATGGGTATAATACAACCCAAAACGTAGATGTGGCAACGTTTGAGAGGACAGGCTTGAATCTCTTACTCGAATGGGGACGGGGGGCATGGGCTAATATTAACTTTTAACATTGATCCCCAATATACACTAAAAAAAAAATTAGTATATATATAAATATGTATATTATATTATTTACAACTTAACCACTTAAAAAACTTATTATTCAAGCTGGTAAAAAAATCTACAAGGGCAAAAAAAAAGGACAGAAATTAGAAAATCTAATGGTTAAAAATTGTGGATTGAAATGTAAATGTTTTGCCCCACCCACTGCGATAGGAAAACGGCATTAACTTCTACACAGGCAGGCCAATTTGCTGGGTACAAGTGTTTTTACAGAAACAATACACCAGTGTACTTTCACATGAATGCATAAAAAAAGTCTTTATTTCTGCCCAGAATGGGAGTCTAACTGGGACACACCACATTAGAATGTCAGCTATGGGCAAAAAAGAAAGTTTGAGCAATGTTTAAAAAGTAAATAAAAGTGAAACTTGAACTAAGAATAATAACTAAATTAACCCATTGGTAGAAAAGAACAAATTAGATTTTCCAAATTGAAAAATGAAAACAAGCAAACATAATAAAATTAAACAAGCAGATAAAACCGGTGTAAGAGAGTAACTAGTTAAATGCGGGACTATAGATTCCCAAATCAATTAGCCAGAAAGAGAACCCAGAGAAATAGTTTTGATTAGGAAAAGTATTAGAGAATTTTAAGACATTAGGAAAGTCATCAAAAAACCAAAAACAGCCAAGTGGAGGACAGAGCCCAATCCAACAGATCAACTTTAAAA